TACCACAATGGTTACACAAATCAAAGAATCCTAAAGTTCCACATACACACCGTGTACATTGGTTAGACAAATCAAAGGACCTAAAGTTCCACATACACACCGTGTACATTGGTTAGACAAATCAAAGGATCCTAGAGTTCCACATACACACCGTGTACATTGGTTTGACAAATCAAAGGACCTAAAGTTCCACATACACACCGTGTACATTGGTTAGACAAATCAAAGGACCTAAAGTTCCACATACACACCGTGTACATTGGTTAGACAAATCAAAGGATCCTAGAGTTCCACATACACACCGTGTACATTGGTTAGACAAATCAAAGGACCTAAAGTTCCACATACACACCATGTACATTGGTTAGACAAATCAAAGGACCTAAAGTTCCACATACACACCATGTACATTGGTTAGACAAATCAAAGGACCTAAAGTTCCACATACACACCGTGTAGGTTACAAATCAAAGGATCCCCACATACACACCGTTCCACATACACACCGTGTACATTGGTTAGACAAATCAAAGGACCTAAAGTTCCACATACACACCGTGTACATTGGTTAGACAAATCAAAGGACCTAAAGTTCCACATACACACCATGTACATTGGTTAGACAAATCAAAGGACCTAAAGTTCCACATACACACCATGTACATTGGTTAGACAAATCAAAGGACCTAAAGTTCCACATACACACCGTGTACATTGGTTAGACAAATCGAAGGATCTTAAAGTTCCACATACACACCGTGTACATTGGTTAGACAAATCAAAGGACCTAAAGTTCTACATACACACCGTGTACATTGGTTAGACAAATCAAAGGATCCTAGAGTTCCACATACACACCGTGTACATTGGTTAGACAAATCAAAGGATCCTAGAGTTCCACATACACACCGTGTACATTGGTTAGACAAATCAAAGGATCCTAGAGTTCCACATACACACCGTGTACATTGGTTAGACAAATCAAAGGATCCTAGAGTTCCACATACACACCGTGTACATTGGTTTGACAAATCAAAGGATCCTAGAGTTCCACATACACACCGTGTACATTGGTTTGACAAATCAAAGGATCCTAGAGTTCCACATACACACCGTGTACATTGGTTAGACAAATCAAAGGACCTAAAGTTCTACATACACACCGTGTACATTGGTTAGACAAATCAAAGGACCTAAAGTTCCACATACACACCGTGTACATTGGTTAGACAAATCAAAGGATATGTACAAGTTCTACCACATACACACCGTGTACATTGGTTACAAATCAAAGGATCCTAGAGTTCCACATACACACCGTGTACATTGATTTGACAAATCAAAGGATCCTAGAGTTCCACATACACACCATGTACATTGGTTAGACAAATCAAAGGACCTAAAGTTCCACATACACACCGTGTACATTGATTTGACAAATCAAAGGATCCTAGAGTTCTACATTGGTTAGACAAATCAAAGGATCCTACACATACACACCGTGTACATTGGTTAGACAAATCAAAGGATCCTAGAGTTCCACATACACACCGTGTACATTGGTTTGACAAATCAAAGGATCCTAAAGTTCTACATACACACCGTCAAATCAAAGGATCCTACCATACACACCGTGTACATTGGTTAGACAAATCAAAGGATCCTAAAGTTCCACATACACACCGTGTACATTAGACAAATCAAAGGATCCTAAAGTTCTACATACACACCGTGTACATTGGTTAGACAAATCAAAGGATCCTAAAGTTCCACATACACACCGTGTACAAGGGTTAGACAAATCAAAGGACCTAAAGTTCCACATACACACCATGTACATTGGTTAGACAAATCAAAGGACCTAAAGTTCCACATACACACCATGTACATTGGTTAGACAAATCAAAGGACCTAAAGTTCCACATACACACCGTGTACATTGGTTAGACAAATCAAAGGATCCTAAAGTTCCACATACACACCGTGTACAAGGGTTAGACAAATCAAAGGATCCTAGAGTTCTACATACACACCGTGTACATTGATTTGACAAATCAAAGGATCCTAGAGTTCCACATACACACCGTGTACATTGGTTAGACAAATCAAAGGATCCTAGAGTTCCACATACACACCGTGTACAAGGGTTAGACAAATCAAAGGATCCTAAAGTTCTACATACACACCGTGTACATTGATTTGACAAATCAAAGGATCCTAAAGTTCCACATACACACCGTGTACAAGGGTTAGACAAATCAAAGGATCCTAAAGTTCTACATACACACCGTGTACAAGGGTTAGACAAATCAAAGGACCTAAAGTTCCACATACACACCGTGTACATTGGTTAGACAAATCAAAGGATCCTAAAGTTCCACATACACACCGTGTACAAGGGTTAGACAAATCAAAGGATCCTAAAGTTCCACATACACACCGTGTACATTGGTTAGACAAATCAAAGGATCCTAAAGTTCCACATACACACCGTGTACAAGGGTTAGACAAATCAAAGGATCCTAAAGTTCTACATACACACCATGTACATTGGTTAGACAAATCAAAGGACCTAAAGTTCTACATACACACCGTGTACATTGGTTAGACAAATCAAAGGATCCTAAAGTTCCACATACACACCGTGTACAAGGGTTAGACAAATCAAAGGACCTAAAGTTCTACATACACACCGTGTACATTGGTTAGACAAATCAAAGGACCTAAAGTTCTACATACACACCGTGTACATTGGTTAGACAAATCAAAGGATCCTAAAGTTCCACATACACACCGTGTACATTGATTTCCAGTTGAACGGAATATCGACATTTTGTGAACATGATTTATTCAGTAAGGTTCAATATGATAAATTCTATACTTATACTGTTCTCTGTTCTACAATTATGTATTATTATTCTATATATTTTCGTAATGTCACGCATCACTAGTAAAATATTCAATTATTTACAGGTATCAATAAAATCATATAAAACCTAGAACTAGAGCTGTATCGATAAAATTGACACAATATGAGAGCTCACGAGAATAAGTTACCATGTCAATAATTCAGAATTTTATATTTTAGGAACATATAAAAACAGAAATTATTAATACTGCTATGGGTCTCCGAGGTAATATCTAGGGTTATGCAAAACAAAAGTTAGTATTACCGTTTTGAGTGCTTCGGGTGAATTCTACAATGATATAAAACATAAGTTAGTAACACCATATTAGGTCTATATAATAAGTCATGTAATTATTCGGAGGCGGAGACAGTAATATTGTACTGTGTTTAATGTGATAAAGATTAAAAACAAAATACAGTAACAGTGGCATGTGAATATAAGGTAAATTTAACAGATCCTTTAATCAGTGGCTTACGAGACTGGTGAGAGTATCTATGGCGAATGTAACATCTCATTACATGACGTCATTGTTTATCGTGTGTTACTATTGTTAAATGTCAGAAATTTATCATCCCCTGTCCAGGACAGCAATATGTACAGATTTCTTATACATCAGTATGTCATTTTTTATGTTATTATGTGATAAAAATTGGCCTATGAAAACGTTTGGTTCATAATGAATTGATCTACTGTGTAGTAATCCAAACTTTTAGTATATAAAACTCATGAACTGGCTGCTTTATTCTGAATAAGGTTATTTGAGACTGTGTTAATTTCCAGAATGTTGATTGGCTTTCAGCAATTGTAACCTCAAACGACTTTTGTAAGGAGGTTGTCATGATGCAATATTTGGATGAACGGGACCCGCTGCGCAGAATAGTTATGATATACCAGTTATTGTATATCATATATTTCTGACACATCTTCAATCAAGCTCATCTCCTTGAGTGTGTTAATCTTATAGTTTTAGTTCATTGGAACCTGTCCCGTTTGCATATCAATGTTTCTATAAGAGGGGTAAACTACATATGAATCTGATTTTTCAAGTAATTGATTCTACGTAAAGACCACTTTTGGATAATATTTAACGTTCTCTTAGCGACTAGGACAGTTGCTAACAAAGTTGCTAGATATACAAACACGTGATTGCTCCAATTCCATGAAGCAATTAACCCATTCATGGTCGTTAGAGGAAGACTTTAACGATAAAAAATAAGAAGAATAGATATTTAAAAATCAGAATAATTAATTTGCCTCTTAAAGTTCAACGTCTTCAATTGTTATTTTTTCTCCCGAGAACAATAATTAAGAAAAAGGACCGAATGTTATTTAAGTAATCCTATCACATTTAAAACGAAACAAGTTGACAGTGGTAAAATGTATTGGCGAGAGTTCCATTAACAAAAAGAGAGACACGTCGTCTCAATTCAAATATTGATTTACCTGTCTATGTATATATACCTATTCAATTGTTCACAAGAAAGTCTTGTTTGGTCATGCTCGATCAGTGACAACATACATAATGGAAGTGAACAGACTTCTCGATGGCGTTGTACTATGGTCACACTTATCCGACCTTGTATCACACTGTATAATTACTATCATTACACATCGATATACATTCGTTTGGATGGATTTTTTTTTACACCGCTGTTTCGAATTTATTGCTCGGTGACATATTTGTTGTATAAAGTACAATGCATAATTAAAAAGACAGAACAGAAAATTGTATAAAATGACTAATGTATGAATAAACTATACACAGGAAGAACACATATTTTGCGAAAAGAGGTTTAAATACTGTACACACCAAATATTTTATCAAAATATCATACGTAAAACATAAAAATAAAGATTCTGTTTGACACACCGACACATACAAATGCGTATGAAAGTGTATAGAAAATCCTGGTTTATTTAGTATGGCCTAATTAAGCTTCACGATATATCGTTTAATAAGTTTGGTTTGTATGTGTTTATGGGATATCAGACCTGACTTTAGTCAATCAAATTATCATATCTAAACTACGTTTCATAAAAAACTTCTTTTACAAAGGTTTTGCCTGTTCTTTTTTCAGTTAAAAATCCAATATGGACGACATCCCGGATAGCATGCGTCATCGACCGCGCCGGCAGTCACAAATCGTTACTTCCGTTCGGGAGGCATCGGAAGATGGCGACTATAAAAGTCTTAGGGAAGCAAGAAAGGTGAGGAACGTAATGAGGATTTGAGAAATCACACGTCCTAGAACAAACAAGTAAAAGGCATGTTCTGACAGTGACAAAATGTGACATCTTTAGAGGCTCGCCACTTTTACTTTTCTTGACCTCGCCAAAAAACAGTGCTTACCTGAAATTGACGTTATGCTGAATTTTGCTTGATGACGGACGTCAAAATAATTGCACCGCCGCCAGGAAATGTAGCTCCAAACTTCACGATATAACAGCGGTTTAATGAATTTCATAAATCAACTTGTTCATCGCAGCATATAGAATAAGTTATTTCAACAACTATTTGTATTTTTAAACGTGATATTTAAGTAAATTCAGAGAATAATTCTATCGTATTTCCGCACTTGCTAAAATACAGCTGTTTCCTATCACTGCCGAATACATAAAAGCTAAATGTGGGAGGTGTATTCTGACAATGGCCGTGCCAGTTACAGAATAAACACATATATTTAGCCATCAAAAGGTGTGACATATACTCAGGGGAAGCAGGGTGGCATCGTTTGCAATATCTTGCAAGCGCGTTGTTAAACACGGTGCATTATTGTATTGCGTGACGTTGTCATTTGGGGAAAGCGCGAAACAGGAAAATCTCGTGCACAGCAGTGTTGTGACATTGAGTTACACTACTCGTCATACCATTAGGTAGTCTTCATAGAGACACGTCATTTTCCGTTGTTATTATTTTTTTAATCATTCTTAATTTCTGATAGCACTAAACAATAGCACTGCTGATGGAAGTTCATAGGGGTCAAGCCATTGCGATGATTATACCAGGTCAAAGACAAATACAGGATGTCAGACATTTCGGTATCTATATTTGCACAATAAAACGTTTTGATAGACATCTAAGGGAAACTGGGCGGGTTGCTGACAGACCTAGGTCTAAGCGTCCGCGCTTGACGTTACTGCGTCAGGACAGATTTATGCGTCTCGCGCATTTGAGCAATAGGCATCTTATTGCCACTGAAGCTGCCCTTCATACCATAGGTACTCATAATCGTTATATCCATTCAAAAACTATAAGGAAGCGATTGCGGGAAGTTGGTCTGCGGGCACGTCACCAGTTTGTAGGTCTGCCCCTTACCGCTGCTCGTCGCCAGCGGCGTACGGTTCGCCCTGTTTCGCGCAGACGGTCAACGTCGTGTTTATCGACTTCGCGGAGAACGTTTTGTCGACTGCTGCATAGTAGAGGTGGATTGGTTTGGGCGTGGATCAGTTATAGTGTGGGAGGAATCTGTCATGGAGTTAAATTACCACTGGTTGTGGTAGCAGGTTTTATTTAACTGCCGCTAGGTATAGAGATGATATCTTCCGACACCATGTTGTCCCATTATTGCAGCAAAACAACGTCACATTCCAGTAGGACAATGCTCAGCCCCACGTAGCCAACATCCAAATTAGGATAAACTCGCTCATGAACCCCATGCCAAGTAATATCAGGGCTGTGGAGAGAGCGAATGGGTTACATTTCGATTTCAGGGTACAGAGTTATCTAACAATTCCCTTCAATTACTCATAAATCACATACCAGATAAAAATCGTTGGTTTTAGTTTGTTCTGTATGGATTAATCTTCATTCTTACTTTAAAATATCGAACATTATATTCACAATTTTGCTTAGAATCACCTCAAAAGTTTAATTTGCATTTGTTTTTTCCTTGAGTATATAAAACGTTAAGAGAAGGAACTTGTGGAACAAGTACTCCGTCAAAATGTCCAAAGTTTGACCTGATGAAAGCAAAGTCATATTGACATGGTTAAGCATGACAGTAACATTTGAACATGTTCATATTAAGTATACTATTTGCAAAATCTTCAATATTTACAGCAGTATAAATACAACATCTTTAACAGCCAAAGCTACATGACTGACATACTTGCATGTTGATTGCCGATAGGTTCAATGCGCTTTCCTCCATGTTGGAGTTTCGTTAAACATTACCCTAGCTGAAGTGATTTTATTCGTTTCCTCTAGTTTGTTGCATTGTCATTCTGAAGGCGTTGCATTTTTTTTATATAGTTAAGAGTTAAAGGGTCGATATACAAGGTCCTCGCATTTTCAACATTTTGTGTCATTACTTCAACAGTTAGTCAAAGTGATTTTTTATTTGTAATTTACGTTCAGTTATTGAAAAAAACTCATTGTTTGCAATTTAAAATTTGTAGGCTAAAAGTCAAGCGAAACTCTCAAGGATCCCTGAATCCAGTTTAAAAGACGACAGTGGTATTGTAAGCGAAGATGCAGTCGACCTCGAATCAGCCAAACCAGCTCTGCGTCCATTTTCACCATTAGCAGATGAACGTTATGAGAAGGTCAGACTTCAGCTTTTCAAAGAAGTGGAAAAGGGCACACCATCAGATATTACAGATATGATGAAAAAGGCTGAGGGTTATGTCCCTTTGCACCACGCGGCCATGTTAGATCCCTTAAATAATCAAACGATTTTACATTATGCTCTAAAACTGAACAGAATAGACGTAGTGGAATGTATTATCGATAACGGAAGTAAAGAGTTACTGCAGCAACTTTTCACATTACCGAAAACAACCCGTTCATCTCTACATCAAATCACAGAGCTAAACAATGTAGAACTAGCTACAAGATTTATGGACAGATTTCCTACACAAGCTGAAAAAGTTGAAGTGATTAAACCTGAAACCATGATTGAAATAGAAGGACAAAGACCCCGGACGTTCTCAGCATACCACCTAGCAGCATTTAGAGGATTCACAGACTTAGTGAAGCTCTACTTAGACTCTGGAATAGACGTCGACTCTCTAAACGTTAAGAAGGACACGGCTCTGCTTTGGGCAGCTAGATGGGGACACAATAAAACAGTTGAATTTCTGATTGAGAGAAAAGCTGACGTAAGCTTGGAAAACGACAAAAAATCCACCGCATTGTATTGGGCAGTCCGATATGAGATATTAGAAACTGTAGTCATATTGTTAGAGAAAGGAAGAGCCAATCCAAACCAGACAAGATTATTAGGGTTGGTAGCTCCAATTGTTATGGCTTCAGCGTTAGGCAACAACGAAATCGTGAAAGTGTTGATCGAAAACGGCGCTGACGTCAATATTGTGATTCGAGGAGGAGAGACTCCGTTGCATCACGCGGCCAAGGAAGGACATCTGGAAATAGTAAAGACACTGCTTGGGAGAAAAGCCGACCTGAATGCACAGGATGAAAAGGGCGAACGATCTCTGACACTTGCAGCTCAGAACGGGCACGCCGATGTTGTGAAATATCTACTTAAATGCGGCGCTGACATGTACCACAAGAACCACTTCGGATTCGACTCCTGGTATTACGCAATGACCCAGCACAACGAAATAGTTTTGCGAGAGTTGACTGAACACTACACAAATCTCCGATCTAGCAATGAGAATGTGAAATCCCCACTGTGCATCGCTGCAAGTCTTGGAAATTGTTCGATGATCAAAATTCTGTTGAAGATGAGAGTTGATCCCGAAGAAACGGATGAAGACGGGAATACCTTTATTCATCATGCGGCAATAAACAACCAAGGTGATGTAATAAAGCATTTCCATAAAAAAGTCAGCATTGATGCACAGAACAACGTTAAGGAAACTGCCATGCATATCGCATGCAGAAAAGGAAATCATGACGCTGTCACAGAATTAATGGAAAAAAAGGCAAAAACTAACATCGGCAATTTAAAAGGAGAAAATGCTCTCCACATTTTGGCATCGTCTAGTAAAACATCTCCGGAGATCGCACGAGCTGTTGTGGAACATACTATTAAATCACACGACTGGGAAAGCTTGAATGCTACAGATAACGAAGGGAACAATGCTCTTCATATCGCTGGATTATTTGCGGATCCTGATGTCCTGTGGGAATTCAGATTCGTCAGATTCAAAGATGTTGACACGGAGGGAAATACACCTCTACACGAAGCAGTTATTTCAGGAAAACAAGAGGTTTTAGAAACTGCTCTCGATATATATGAAAATATGCAGAGAGATGCTGATATAAACACGTTAAACAAAAAATCAGAGAGTGTGCTGCATTTAGCAGCATCTGTGGGGTTTTCCGAGAGTGTAACCAGGCTGGTGTTTTATGGTGCTGATTTGACAAGTGCTGACAAAAAAGGAAACACAGTTCTACACAGACTTGTAAAGGATATGGCAGAAAACAAAGGTGATTTGAAAGCCAACGAAAGAGTGATGGAAACAGTAATCTTCGATTCTGTTAGGTGGTGGTGCAATCGTCACGGAACACTCTATCCAAGAGATAATGAATCCCTCTTTAAGCAACTACAACGGAATGCACTCTTGTCTTTGTTAAATGATTATCCAAACAAACAAAACCTATCCGTGTTAGCATACGCCTACAAAGTCGGGTCACACAAGTTCTTGAATCGGATGCTGACTATGCCTGATGTGATGATGTTTCAGAAGGATGATGCTATTTATTTTGACATCACCCACCTAACTCCGACAACCAATTACAACATCCATAGCTGTTGCAGTTGTTCAACCGCAAAAGTTCAGCATTCCAATTCACACATCGATCTCCTCATGACTTTGAATGCCAAAGGACGTGCGTCATGTGTGCTGGATATTCCACCTGTTCGACAAATCGAGAGAATGTACACGGCTATATGTGCATGGGCTTATTTCTTCTTTATGGTTCTGCACGTTCTTTACATGAGTGCGTTTTCGTACATTGGAATACAAATCGCTTCAAAGTTCCGCGATCTTGCAAATGGTACACCATTGACAGATTCGGACCCCGTGCTGATAGCTGCATATATTGTTGTTCCTTTAGAGCCTGCCATTGGTATCTTATATGTCTTGTTGGACATATGTAGAGATATATGTCGTCGGGAACTGCCATCATTGCGGAATTTGTTGACTATGATGTTCGTCTTTATGTTTGCATGTCTTGTTTTATCCTGGATCATTTTGATTTCTATTCGAAACACTGATCACGACTATGTATTGTCTGTGTGCCTGTGCTTAGGCTGGATGCTGTCCATTTCATTCACTAGAGGTTTTAAAGGAATCCATTACTTTTTCAAGATGTTAGTGAATATGATCATGAGGGATGTATTTCGTTTTCTAATTGTGTTTTCTTTCGTACTATTGGCGTTTAGTTTTGCACTCCATACCCTCTTTCAGATTTCGACATCTATTGTGAGTACATACAAGGATCCCTTTGAGACTATATTTCTAGCCTTTAACATGATGATTGGCATGGCGGAGCTGTTTGACGGCACGATTGAAGCAGGGATGGAAAGTGTTGGTCGAACGGCGACATTCGCAAAGGCTATTTATATAGTATATATTTTGCTGTCAACAATCGTCTTACTGAATTTGCTGATCGCCATGATGAACGACTCGTATTCGGATATTCTTCGACACCAGAGAGTATCATGGCGAGTGGAATCTGTTCAGATAGGAATTGGAATCGAGAACCTATTTCCATGGTTTCCCGCCGTATTTGGGAGAATATCTGTCAAAAGAGAAAAAATTGGTATTGGAAATAAACCACTAGACGATGAGGAGGAAAGATGGTATTTAGTGACTAATTCAAATGCATTAGAGGAATATAAACCAGAAACAAATGACGACGAGGCAGCTGAGAAAATGACAAGTGTTTTGGAAAAACAAATTCAGGAAGTTCACGATCGTGTTAGACACGCAGAACAGCGATCTATAGAAGCAAGTAAAAAATATGAAGAAATTTTGTCCATTCTCTCGAAAATGGAAAAGCGGGAGGGATAAGCGCTTTGAAAAATCAATTACCACCATGCTTGTATGTATGTTTGTATGTATTTATGTGTGTGTGTATGTACATTTCCTAAGATATACATGGAAATTAAGTTTTGATATGTATTAACAGATTCCATAAATAGTCTTCGTTAGGTTGTTCAACCAAGCTCGGACAATCTATTTCAGAATCTTAATTGTATATCTATTGGTTAAAAAATCAATATTGCTGCGTTAGCTTCACCGGTACAAGAAGCAGGATATCCCATTCTAAAAACCTTATCATATTGTTACTTTATAAATTACTGGCAGTATGTAAATATTTCCTTCAACAATAAGTCATGGATCGAGTTTTTGTCACTTCTTATGATAATAATACTAATTGAATTTACCTGTCTGGTATAGAAATATTTCACATCGTAAAAAAAGGAAAAAGAAAGGAATGATACATTTTTTATTTTGCATTTCTGATAACTGCTCATTTGTTTCAAACTGTTAGATTTCATCATTAGTAATGTTTTTTTTTCTTACACTTGCTCTACAAGTATTGCTCACAAGTGTTGCTTTTTGGGTCACTGTTCCATTTTAGATACCAGTTAATTACATAGAATATCTAGTGTACCAGATACATGTAGATTATCAGTCGTTGTTGCAATTACCATATATAAGTTATAATTGTTACATATTCTATCTTGATAACTTAGATATTTCTATTATGCCTTCGACTCACGAACTTTAAATAATACAACTTGGTACGTCCTACTAATAAATATTTGATTGGATACGGGATTCAAATGTAAGATAACCATTTTTTATATTCATACAAAATTTTTACAACATTTATATACCAATAACCATATATATATATCGGTGTTACTAACGGATAATCAAGTCTAGCTAGATATCAGATAATTTCTTCGAATGGTCAGCATCAACACCAATCTCTTTAATAGGTTACATAGTATCGCATTGTGAACGTCAGAATGCTGTGAGTATTTCAAGAATTGAAAACATTTGAATCTGAAATTATTATAAACTACTGTTTAGATTCATTAGATCTCCATTTTTTAGATCAAAAGATCCGCCACAGCACTTTCCTTGTCCAATATATACTATGTACAGTATTTGTATCGTTTGGTATCGTTTTGTACAATGTGTTATCTGTATTTAATATTATTTATCCTCCAAAACTTTTGGACATATGAACACATGTTTATAATTTATTTTATATACTAACGCAACATATTTACATGTAGTATGATAATACGAGGTACACGGTGTCTGAGGACTGAAGCTACCAATAATACGAGATACCCGGTGTCTGGGGACTGAAGCTACCAATAATACGAGGTATCCGGTGTCTGAGGACTGAAGCTACCAATAATACGAGATACCCGGTGTCTGAGGACTGAAGCTACCAATAATACGAGATATCCGGTGTCTGAGGACTGAAGCTACCAATAATACGAGGTATCCGGTGTCTGAGGACTGAAGCTGCCAATGTTTAACACATTTTACATTTGTTTTATCGATATGATTATAATATCCTTTGTTATTTTATAATGTAAATCATTGTTTACATTTTTATACTCATGATGGTTTCCACTGGTTACGTTGTGTACTGACAACATTTTATCTACATTTTGTGATATAATGATATTATCTTTTACTGTGACAACTTTTGTCTTGTGATGTATTACAAACTATAGGTATACGCTATCTTGTCTTGAAATAAAACTGGAAAAATGTATACTTGTAACGCCAACAAAATGTAACGTCTTGATATGACGAGTTACATTTTATTGATGAACTAGTGTCACATGAAATCACTAAACAGGTACATAATTAAGAATTGTGGCATCTTGATTCAGGAGTGTTTCCAGATATCATGGTAAGTCTTATATAAAATATGTGTATAGAGATACCATTTCTAGGATAGCTGATATTTGTAAGCGTTTTACATTCAAACTGTGATTTGCGACATCGAATTGATATAAACTTTATATAAAATTTTGCATTTACCAAAAATACAACATTTGTACAGGTAATGTAATACTTCGTTGCTAATACCAACAGTTCGTACATTAATCCATTGATACGAACATCTGAAATACTTGTACTTGTAGAGATTCTAACGGTGTAAGTGATGTGTTTGTTGGTAATTCTATATCATTTGATAACGTTTTTGTGTTATCAATTAAACTCCTTTACTTTTAGTCATTAGTGAGAAATGTTATTACCACAGAATAATACGTAGACAAAGCGATGATTTCGGAGACTTTTAAACTAGTACATATTGCTTTGGTTCCTATCATCACACATCCATCCTTATGTTCACTCCGTTTTTTAATTTCATTTAAAAAAAATCATATAAATCTTGTGAAAACAAAATATGAAGAAAATAACTGATCTATTTTAACATCCACATTATAACACTGATTTGCATCACTTAATTTATAGATGTATAACCCTATATCAAAGTTAGTAAGACGTACACCCGACTTATGGGTGTTGAACATTTATACATATTGTATCTGACATTAATACTTTACATGATATGTGTTCTAGGGTAAAAGATACTTTCTGCCGTTTCTTAGTCGGAACGGTAACTTTCCGTGAATAATCAAATCAATTAAAGCTTAAGCAAAAGAGGTCAGACTTATTTTAGTACAGAATTAAAACATTTTGTTTCCTGTGTTTAGGAATAAGTACTACAGTATCAATATCAATGAAAGATAAATCACAACCTCTGCATACATATATGTATGTTATAATTTGTTATAATTTCGCAGAAGACTATCTGCATCATCTTTTCTCCATCTTTCCGGAAGAAAATGCAGCATTGCAAAAAAAAATTTTTTTTTTGCCTTGTTAAAGCCCCGGCACAATAATCGTACTTCATTTTGACGAACCTTCTGCGGTTATAAAAAATGTACACGTATTACAACACCCCCCCCCCCCCCTAAATATGACATATGCTCAAATTTAACTGTGATAATTTTGAATGTTATCGGTTAGTGCCGAACAAAATGTAAATCTACGCATCATTGAACATGCAATCATTCTTTTGTTAGTTAAACATTTCTAATGTATATCAGAAAAGTGATCTTAACGCCGTCGTACGCACGAAATAAACTTCTTTTTACAGTTTAGCCTGCATTTTTGTCTTTTGTTAATATTCATAATATTTTCACTTGTGTCGCAAAGTGAGTAGCGGAAGCTTTAACAGCAAGAAAATGTTTGTAATTATTGATATTTACACATGGCGCACAGGTCTGTGCACGTGTATACAGTCATGTCTTTACTAACACTCTTGTAAATGTACGATGTTTGCTTACACCCCTAAATTCAAAATGAAAACGTGGATTACGTATGAATAGACATACAAGACATCTAGACGCAAATAGTTCATTCAAAAACACTGATCAGTTTGATTGTGGTATTATATGGCCGCTCATTTGAACTGGCAGCTGTTTTAACACTTAAATATGTACCAGGTATTTTTTCTGAAGCTATCAGGTGTAAACATAAGGATTGTTATATATAAGTATGCTAAACAACAAGTAGTTAATTGATATGTTAATCCATGTATATGTTCAGAAAATCATACAAAAAAATCTCATCCTAGACAATGTGTGTGAATTTGTCAGAGAATGCGGTTCACCTGCTGTCAACATAAATCAATGATTATACAATCGCTTTACTATAGATTATTATTATTATATACACGTCGTTGTTCGCGTTCAAATTCCATTTTAGTACACTTTAGTATCTTATGGAGACGAAAATAAATCTATGTATACACAAAGTTGACGGATATGGTATCTGTCAAAATGTTGTTCGTGTACCCGTGAGAATCTTTAATTAAATTCTACACGTGATAAAGGAGGGGATAATGAGGCCAATGAATACAGAATAGCATGGTGACCATTGACCAAGCGAAGAAAATCATTTTTTTACTGATCAGTGTTTTTACAAATTGGGTTAGTGACAGGAAACTACCATCTACCGGTCATTGTCGTACGGAATGTCGAACGGCTCCAACATTGTTTGTCAATCTGTATCTCTTGATTCATTCTGCGGTATGCAATCATAAACAATCACAACATATATATATAACCTGACACGGGCATGAAACAACTTTGCAAGTGTTTCAAGGATAGAACCTAGCAACATCATTTGATTCGGACACGAAACAGCAGGGCAAGTGTTTCAAGGATAGAACCTAGCAACATCATTTGGTTCGGACACGAAACAGCAGGGCAAGTGTTTCAAGGATAAAACATCGAGCAACATCATCTGGTTCGGACACGAAACAGCAGGGTAAGTGTTTCAAGGATAGAACCTAGCAATATCATCTGATTCGGACACGGGTGTGTGTATGTGTGTGTGTAAATATATATATACATATGTGTGGGTTGTGTATGTGTGTGTGTGTGTGTGTATAATATATCATCTCATGAACATTGACAGTAGGTTTGCGCTGAGATATGTACATAAACAGGTGAATAAATAATCATAAAACATAAATCCTTATCTGTTGATCAACAGTCTGGATATGTAATCTTTTGTGTGTTTTCTAAACCATTACGGAAAGCTATCAGCGTTAAATTTGAGAGGGGTTACCTGAACCAAAGAAATGGTCAAGCTGGACATTGGAAATCGACTGTGACCATCGGGATAGATAGAAACGTATCTGGAAATTATAAAACATGGACAATCAATAACAAAAATAATGTTTTACCGTGATGTCTCTTTAAACCGCGAAGTAACAATAGTAAATGTTTTCATATACAATACATTAAAAAAAAAGTAATTCGTCTTGCGTTACCTTTCTATAGTAAATACGATTTTTTTATAAAAATTAACTGGTCTCACGGTAAGATAACAGGATGACCTTGACCTACACACCATCCTTATCTTTGTTGTCGTGTATGTCTGTAAAATGGCAGCCAAACAGGGACAAAACATCGCTATTATTGGCAGGTATGTTAACGTATGTGTTCGTTAAAATCTGTTGTCATAATAATATAACCACTTTTCATAACGTTAAAGGAAGTAAATATCTAATACCATTTATAAACAATGGTTACCAGTACATAAACATATCACTTCACGTCCGTTACACGTGTTCTAAATATATTTCATTTCAGATGAGATTTAAGCGGTATTCAAAGAAACCAAAGCTTATATCATTGTAGATAGTGTTTAACTTTTATAGAGGAGACTGGGAGAATTAATCTACCCAAAATCCATTCACAATTCACAAGGAACTGTATGAAGAAGATCTGCATTCTAAAGTAGATCGAGGTAGCAAAAAGCAAGGGAGGAACACACATATTAGAATATTTGTGATTAATATATGGTGAACATAATTTATAATGATTGTTTATCAAACATAAAGAATGCTTTATATATACTAATAATGAAGAAATTTGCATTTGTCACAAGAAGTAAAGATGCTGTATAGTTATCATATATATCTTACAGCTGAACAGGTTATAAAAGAGTTAATACCTTAGTACCGTGGGTTACCGACGATTTAGTGATGTAGGAAACTTTAAAACCAAAATATTCGATGGTTGGTAGAAAACAGAATGACCAAGGCAAGGGATGTGATAGCTTAATTATGTCAGGAAAGGATTTGTTTTCAAGTTTTTTTGTTTTTTTTTTAATCTTTTAAGTGGAATAATAGGTCGAAACTGGGCAATGGTATTTGCTTCTGGGGGCTACAATGTAAGAATTTTCGACAACGACCAAAACCAAATACGAAGTGCGTTGGTTGCAATTAAGGAAACGCTGGAGCGATATGAAAAGGATGGGATTCTAAAAGGCACTGATTCAGCGTCAGATCAGATCACTAGGATCAGAGGATGTTCTAGTGTCGAGGAATGTGTATCTGGTGCTGCTATCGTTTTGGTATGTTTCTATTTCATTACAAAATTATCATGGCTGAAAGAAATAATCAACACGTGTAGAATATAGAACCGGTATCCTAGTGTTGAACAAAGTACCGGTATCCACACGCGGAGAATATAGAACCGGTATCCTAGTGTTGAACAAAGTACCGGTATCAACACGTGTAGAATATAGAACCGGTATCCTAGTGTTGAACAAAGTACCGGTATCCACGCGGAGAATATAGAACCGGTATCCTAGTGTTGAACAAAGTACCGGTATCAACACGTGTAGAATATAGAACCGGTATCCTAGTGTTGAACAAAGTACCGGTATCAACACGTGTAGAATATAGAACCGGTATCCTAGTGTTGAACAAAGTACCGGTATCCACACGCGGAGAATATAGAACCGGTAATCCTAGTGTTGAACAAAGTACCGGTATCCACACGCGGATAATATAGAACCGCCGGTAATAAGTGTGTAAAAATACAGAACTTGTATTCGCGTGTAGGAAATAGAACATGTATCTGTGTGTCGAATATAGAATCGGTATCCTTGTTTAAAATATGGAACCGGTATCAGTGTGAAGAATATAGAACCGGTATCAGTGTGTAAAATACAGAACCGGTATCAGTGTGTAAAATATAGAACCGGTATCAGTGTGTAAAATACAGAACCGGTATCAGTGTGTGGAATATAGAACCGGTATCAGTGTGTGGAATATAGAACCGGTATCAGTGTGTAAAATATAGAACCGGTATCAGTGTGTAAAATACAGAACCGGTATCAGTGTGTAAAATATAGAACCGGTATCAGTGTGTAAAATACAGAACCGGTATCAGTGTGTAAAATACAGAACCGGTATCAGTGTGTAAAATATAGAACCGGTATCAGTGTGTAAAATATAGAACCGGTATCAGTGTGTAAAATACAGAACCGGTATCAGTGTGTAAAATATAGAACCGGTATCAGTGTGTAAAATACAGAACCGGTATCAGTGTGTAAAATACAGAACCGGTATCAGTGTGTAAAATACAGAAAATAAAACACAGAACCGGTATCAGTGTGTAAAATACAGAACCGGTATCAGTGTGTGGAATATAGAACCGGTGTCCGTATTTAAAATATGGAACTGGTATCCGTGTGTAAAATATGGAACTGGTACCTCGTGTAGAATATGGAATCGGCTTTGTCGTGTAGAATATACATGTAGAACCGGTCACCGTGTTGAAAATATAGAACTGGTATTCACATGTAGAATATCTCGTCTTTTTCTATTTAATAGGAGTGCGTTCCAGAAAGACTGCACATCAAAAGAAGTGTTCTTGACCAGGTGGATAGGTATATAAATGACGATGACGTCATCCTAGCTAGTTCATCGTCTGCCATTTTCGCCTCTGCACTGTCAGAGGGCATGCAACATAAACGACAAGTCATTGTAACCCATCCGGTATGAATGGTATTCTCTACAACTATTGTTCTGTGGTAAAACGTTCGAATAGTTCGATTATTTATAAACAAACTCTACACAAAAATGTTCAATTCCTAAAGAATTTCAGACTACGATGTACTTGTGTGTAAATGCATTTTCTGTTGTAAAAGTTTTGTGAATAAAGCTTTATAAACAGAAATCGTTCAAAGTTATATACAAGGTAACGATATTTTTTTCATTTTGATGTATTAAAGGTAGTTAAAAACACCTTATATCCTTGAAGAAGACAATTTCAAAATATTTCTTGGAAGTTTCATACACGGAAATGTGTGTGTGGGTATGGTGGTGGTGTGTGTGTGGGGCCGCGGAGGGGGGGGGGAGGCGTCAATGATACTATTTATCTTGACACGTTATACGAAAAGTTATAAGTACAGGTACAATATCGATCATTACAATGTTGTGACGTTTCCCCGATAAAGGAGTATGTATTTTCAATCATCTCATATGACTGTAACATAGCCAGAACATTATTAAAATACATATATTATGAACATGGATTTTACTCTGTTCCAGCTGAACCCGCCGTACTTCCTGCCGTTCGTGGAGGTTGTGCCTGCACCCTGGACAGACAAGAGCATCACTGAACGGACCTGTCAGATTCTCACTGATGTAGGGATGACACCCGCGGTCCTCCATAAGGAAACTAAGGGATTTCTTATCTGTAGAGTCCAGCATGCAATTACGGCGGAATGTTTTAAACTCGTCAGGGTACAAACTAAAAACACATCAATCTTATATATTTGTAACTTGTAAAGATCATGGCTGGGTTAGCGACGAGAGGACGTCCGGAAACAATGAAAAACTATAATTCCCATCGGTTCCTCGTCTGAGACTTAAAAAGTCCAGTGTTTTCTAGCGATCATAATTTGTTCTTTTGGACAGAATGTCAGACTCCAGTAGATGGACGTACTTATAACGTATGTGATTGATTTAGGTCTAAAAGAATTCAAATACCAGGTATAAGCATAAAAAATGATTCCAGCCTTGGCTTAGGTAGCCATTATTTACAAATAATTTGTAATAAAGTCACACATAGTTTTGTACATATATTTATCAAAAATGTAAAAATAGCATTTTTACCTTTTCTTTTTTGAAGGATGGGGTAGTTTCTCCTGAAGATATCGACAAACTTATGCCCCACGGGCTGGGGCGGAGGTATGCCTTCCTTGGAGCTTTGGAAGCTTCCTATCTTAACGCTAACGGTAGGTAAATCCCTATTTAGTAAAGAATTTTCCACATTCTCTAACAGAACAATAGTGATGTCACTGTGGAAATTGTCTTTCCCTAATAAATCACCTCTCTGATGGCCACATCCCTTCATGTTTAAAAATTTGATCATGACAACACATAAAATAGAATTATCACAATTTGCCAATGTAGTATGGAGTTTGATGACCTGACTTTTACAAAAGTCAGAAATAATTTATCTTTGCTTTTGTTTTATTAGTTTGCTTCTTCATCGTCAGCAGTATAATAACAAGAGGCCTAGCGGCCTAAAAGGTCACCTGAGATAAGCAATATTGAATACAAAAGTTAAAGGGTACCTATCAAATGTCATGAAAAAATTGTAACATTGGTGATAGTACGCCAGTGTCAATGCATGCATACCATCAAAACCGTCTGATATACTAATAAGTCCTATAAAGTTATTTCCAGTGGGAAATCAACAATGTTAGGTTTAAAAATTTGATTCTTTTTCTATAAAAATTACAGAAAAGTTAAGCTCCTCCCAGGAAAGATATGTGAGACCCATTTGGTAATTAAAGCACCTTAAGAGGCTTCCAACCACGTAGGTGTGACCTAATAAAGAATAAATGGTTGAAATTGACAGTAAACATACTTACATGTACATCTTGTTCATGCATGGGACAGAAAACAAATGTGATCTATTTTAGACAATTTAAGAATTTTCAAAGCTATGATGTAATGTGTCATTCAACACATTCAACAGGTATGACGGACTTCTGCAAACGCTATGGTGATACTATATATGACCTCCAGCAGGATTTCGGTCCTCCAATTAAGCTAGAGGGCGCACCTTTAGAGATAATTGAGGCAGATTTAACCAAACGAATACCGTTGGATCAGATGCAGGAAAAACGAGACTGGAGGGACAAGAATCTGGCAGACCTCGACAAGTTTTTAAGCAAAACCAAACCTTAACTGTTACATTTTTGAAGAGCTGTATGACAACAAGCTTCATTTCGTATTTAAATACAAAATTGTTAATGTACAGTTACATTTCTAGTGTTATTAAAATGATGTACGTTTTTACTGCATTTGGCAAATTTTGTTTACAAATCATTTGATCCAGAACACATCTGATCCTGCAACAGTGTGAAAAAACTTGAGTACTGGTTTCAAGATACAACATCAATACAATTTTACTACCTGTACTTACAGGTCAAGAAAGGGTGTCGAAATTGGTTTATTCATTTTTTTTTCAAATCAAAAAAGATTTTTTGATGGATAAATATAAAGTTTCTCTTTAAATATTGTTAAGGATCATTTATGGTAAGACCTTTCCCAAATATCCCCAGGCTTCAAACAATATGTATCATTGGAACTTAAGGAGTTTACATTGTAAGAAGTATTTTTTCAAGATTGGGCCAATATAGTCATCCCGAGGTTCGGCCCAACCCACAGAGACCCACTTGGTCAAGACCTCTCAGGATTAGCTGAATTCCACAAATGAAACTTGAAATTAAGCTTAAAATATGAAAAGTAAACAAAAACAACAAAAATTATTAAGATATTCATTTTTTGCTGTTCATTTAAAGAAATAGCTTCAGTTGAATAAAACAAAACATTACTTAAGACATTGTTTCTTTAAGTTAACACACTCTCACAAGATTCTCTGCCATCCTTTTATCTATACATGTACCATTCAAACATTTTCTAATTATCATAATGTCACAAACTCCTAAAATCCAGTTTTTGCTGCCATTAGTTATCTTATGGAACTGATCCACCACTCATACTGATCTCTCTGTTCCCCTATCAAACCCATTATACCACACATCACAAACACACAAACATATCTAACATTACATACACTTCATTATCATACAGGCACATCACACATACAATTTCAAACACACTACATCTTTAGTATATAATGCACACAACATGGCCATATTTCATGAACCCAACTGCCTATATTGTGTAATATATACATGTATAATAACACACCTTGTTTTTTTTAGACATAATGAAATCCCTGAAATCCAACAGATGATATAATTTGAGAATTCCTGAAATTGTACAAAAATGTTTTGTCAATATATAGATCGTAATTATGCTTATGAAGTATAATAAATTTACACATTAGATTATAATTACACAGTACAAAATGTACAGGAGCAAGTTTTGAGGGACAATGTAATGAATAGGAATCAGAAAATGTCAGTTGATACCTGTTACATTCAGCACTGATTACTACAACAACACATCAATCTGCACGTAAAGAATATTAATGATAGAACATTTGCTGAAAGTACCTCAGTTTCATTGGATGTTGCAGATAACAGCTCATTATAATATCACCTTTAATCTAAATGTCACAAGGCCCGAGTTCTTGATGGGAATGTTCATCCACACATTCAACAAATTGATGTAAAATCTTAACAAACGTGCAGTGTTGTTCATATGTAAATTATTTTCGCAAACTTTCATTCCTGCTAATTTCAGTAATATGCCATCTGTTATTGAATTACAAATACACAAGTAACAATTTTGTCTTATAGATTTGTGTCCTTTGTATTTAGGCATATCATACTCCTTAGAATATCTTCAAGCTGACTATTTTGCAGATCAATCCTCCTCCTGGACATTCTGTGTCATGGCTGCATTGACCACAGCAGCCAGATCTTCATTACTTGATTTCAATCTTTCTCCTGTTGAAGAATGAAAGGTTTGGAAAATATTAAAGAGTTTAATATTCATCAAAGGTATATGTAATTGTCATTTCCACCTTTTTTTTTAGATACTACAATTGACAGTGAAAGACTATTTTCTAAACAATGACGATCAAAATGTGATTGCAAGTGTAGGAAAGGATGTTTGAAAAATAATCTTGTGAATTTCCTAAAAATTCTTAACTCAGAAATGCAAAAATATTTCTCTCTTGAAAGACAAAGGACTATTTTTCTAGTATGTCTTTTTATGGAAGCATATGTGTTACCACCTGTTTCTCCATTCCATCCTGTCATGTTCTATTTATCCTATTTCAAATCAATGTCTTTTCTTGAGAATCTCTCATCAGATTTGGTTCATGTTTATCCCATAGGATTAAAACAGCAAGTCCAACATCTGGTCAGATTCTGATTTGCATAGTAGGGAAGGAATTCACTTCCAGATTGAAACAGTACCATTTTAAACTTACGTATAAGTTCTGCTATAGCTCTCTGAGTTCTCTTTTCCAACTTTTCCAATTTCTTCGCTACATCACGCTTCAAATCCCAATCAGGTTTTCTTGGTGCCAAATTCATTATATCCTGTAAAATATGACAATAATTTCATGTATATTAGATGTCAGAGTCACCAAAGTTCCAAATTTAAAAGATCAGCATCTGAAACAAATAACTTTCAAAAAGAAGCTTTGGTATGAATAAATGAAAGGAAGGCAAAATTTTACACATTCATCAAATATCAATGAAATTTAAACAGAACTGATCAAGTAATCATTTGTCTAACATTTATGGTTTTAACAATGTTGGCAAACCCAATAGAAAATGTCAACTGATAATCATACCTATCACTTGTTCAATAAAAGCTTTCACTGTTAACCCAGGTATTTTATACTTACCACTTCTTCAACAACTTCCTTTGTTGTTGATGCCTCCAACTGTGATTGAATTTTCTCTGCAACTGTGAATATACAAATAAAACAAAATGTATAACCTGTATATTTGAATCATTACATGTATAAATAAGATGTATTTATGAAACACTATTACCCCGGTTGCAACAACATTCTGAAATGGGACATTAAAAGTGTACTGTGTAAGGCATGTGCTATTTGCATGCTCACTTTATGAAACACTTGTGTCTTCATTGTGGTCATGATTTTTTTTTTCAATTTCAAATGTAGGTCAAAGGTCAAAGGTTCAATTTTTTTCGTCCCACAAGAAAGGTCTTGTCAAAAAGAACACACATAAGCCAGATATGAAACACATACCTCTTTTGATGCAACAGTTATGATCAATGTTAAAATTTCTTAAATGCAGATAAAAGGAAAAGGTCATATGGAGAAAAATTTTGGTAGCACCAGAAAGGCAGTGTCACAAGGAACACACATGCCAAACATAAAAGTCCTAAATCTTACATGCTAAAGTTTTAGGAAAGGTTAATGTTAACAACAGACAAACAGACAGCACAAAAAAATAGGCGCCCAATCTTTCGATCTGTGGGCTTAAAATGAATACATACAGAATCAAGTAACGCTCACAAAATTAGGTTTGGTATGAAGATCATTGATATATCTATTGAGAAGTAAAGAATAATTTCAAGAGTAGAAAACTATTTAATATCAATTAAAGAAATGTTTATCAAAATTACTACAGATTTACTGTTTAATTAGAAACAAAGAGGCATCAACCAAATCAAGAGTTAATCAAAGATAACATTCATTCTTTTTTTCCTTGGCTACTTTAGAATTGTATGGAACCACAAGTGTTAGTCCAGCTACTATCAAAAATAATAAAAAAAATTCTGCTGTATATCAATTATTCTCTATTAAAAAAAGTACATATAGTCCTTCAATTTTACAAAATTGAAGGCAAAATACTATGGTGAAAAGTGGACAAAGTCATTATTGTTTAAAAACACTCAGCAGAGAGATCAGTATTTTTGGTATAATATAGAAAAAAATCAATCACCATCTGCTGGCTTAGCTACTGGTATTGACTGCTCCTTTAAGCTTTCATCTTGAGGTTTATAGCTTCTGAAAACAGGTCTGCAAAACCAATACAAATTATTCAAATATTACAAGGTGTATATAATCCGTATACTTGACAATTTCACATATTACTTTTACATATATATGAACAATTTCATATCAAACTGTTATGACATCATCATCATCAACTCAATTTGGGAAAATTAAATCACAGTTTTAGTACCTGATTAAACGTCACGCATTTTGTTATTAAGATGAAATCAGAAATATATTGTCAAAATAAGCAGATAAGAGAAGATTGTCTCCTCGACTTGTATGGTTTGTGTTACATTATCTAGTAGTGGATTCTTACGGTTGTTTAAATTCATCAGTCACACAGGAATCTAAAATAAATCTAAAACCAGGAATGTTCATTTCGTCAAAACTGGACACGTTAGCACTTCAGACTTGATTTTGTTTATTATCAAACGATAAATACGAGAAACTCTTACTTTGGCAGAGCCTCTTTTTCTTCGATTTCTACAGCATTTTCGCCAGGCTGGTTCTGTTTTGCTCTCAAAGCTCGAAGTCTTTCCTTTCTTTTCCTCGCAGCCTCTTCCATGGAGCCAACGGACGCCATGCTTTCGTTTATCTGTGTCATATGCACGCTTCTTCGCTTCGTGCTTGCTATGCCTTCATTACAAACGCTCCTACGAACACTTTGATCCCGAACGAGAGTCACGATAAACAGTGAACATTTTAAGTTTGGGATAAACACTTGTATAAAATATTAACATAGTTGGGTCCTAGAAGCATCAAATATGTGGTATTTCTTTCATACTTGAAATAAGCAGGACTAAAGAATCAGCACAATTTCCACTGACTGTTTGACGTTTGACGGGAGGTAACTCGTAATCAATTTGGTGACTGCAGATTTCCAAACAAAGACAACGCAACTTTCAGTAACATTTTGTACTGTAAATAAGATGCCGATGACTTTGGTTTAGCAAACCCTTAAAAGGTGTTAACACTTTTCTTGCGAATACTTGACCGAAAAGAAATATCAATTAGTATTATTAGTTTATAATTTCAGACGGTAATGCACACTCACTAGATGAAACAATGGGAACTACAAACTGAAATGTTCTATACTTACATACACACGCACGTGAAAAGAAAAAAAAAAGATTAATACACATAGACGTAAAGTAGTTATATCTCTTTCTCGATAAGCTGGCAGAGGCCATGAACATTAGATCCCTGTCATGACAACAAAATAAATGAATAAATAAAAAACAAAACTTACATACATGTTCACATGAATTTTTGAAGGAATTCTTTTAATGGTGTCCAAAAAGAACATTTATTTACGACAATATGTTATGCTCTAACTTAGTACGTTTGGATTCTGAACCACAGATATAAGTTTTAATCTATTGGCGAGAAATCTATGTTTTGTCTTTTGAGTTTTCTAGCATCTCCAACTCATTTTAGCGTGTAATATACATATAGAGAAAATACATGTGTCTTAAAATATAAGCTATAACGAGGCAAGCATCTGGCGTGACAAGTTTGTCTTTCTGCAGCTAATATTTAAGAGACTGGCCATGTTTCTATTATCCTGCAATCAGACTTTGACAACTTAAACAGTTCTGTTGTTCTATCCGTGTTTACTTGACGTTGACGTTACGCTGAATTTTGCCTGATGACGGAGTCGCCGTGAAATATAGTTCAAAACTTCTTCAGATATAACAGCGATTTTATGTGTTTTCATATATCAACTACTTCATTACAACTTATAGAATTGCTTATTTCAACAGCTATTGATGTTATTAAATATGATTTAAAGTAAATTAGGAAAGTAATTCTGTAATATTACCGCACGTGCTAAAATACGGCAGTTTTCCATCACTGCCGAATACAGCATTCAGGATAAATGCATATGTTTCTCTTTCCTTCTCCTCTTTATATATATATATGTGTGTGTGTGTGTTTGTGTGTGTGTGAGGAAAGGTGGTGGGTGGATGGTGTAATTTCTTTCCTTTTTTTGATAAAAAAAAATCCTAAAACCGTGCCCAGATAGAGTTTTAAAGTGCACCTAAACCATGAAATACTTATTTTCTATGACACAAAATTGCAAATTACATGTTTACCTTTCACTTGTTATGTATATGTTAAACAAGTCTATCAGATATCTAATAATATCATATTTTACAGCATAAGGGAAACAACTCCATTCAGAAATTTAGTTGTTTTTGTAAATCCGGATAAGATGATAGGGGCATGCTTTAAAATGAAAATCCAGATTGAAGCTAAAGAAAATGGCGTCTTCTGTACTTTGAAGATTTCATATAACTTTTTACGTTTAAGATGGATATAATTCTACATCCAAATTACACTACACGTGATTTGTCAGAAATATCACGATCATCCATGACACGTGGGAACCTGGCTAGCTATACACAGTCAGTTTGTTTTAGTCCGAACTTGGTCAGTCTTGCAATTACATTCGGTCTGCTTGTTTTACTCAGATATGGATATTGTGCACTGTAAGTACTACCTATAGGCAAATATAGATGAACTTTCTCCAATCACCACCTAACTAACCGTGATTGAGTCACTCTCCAAAGTAGATGAACTTCCTCCACGCAACATTGTCAATAAGAATGTGTTTGTTTTGAGTGAAGTCATAACTGTAATTAAACACGACAGGCAGTTAATTGCAAGTTCAAGTTCTTTATTACCACGAGCCTTACAACTTATCAGTTCAAAGTACAAGTATATATAAGTACAAACAATTCCTAACCTTAATGGCCTTCACACCACGTCCATCCAACGATTGATACATCTAGCACAAACCTATAATGGGCTGAGATATCAGAAGTACGATATTCCATAATAGGTCTTGCGTTACTCACTTTATTTGTGTAACGAATAAGTTATATTTACAATGTATCAGTCATTTAACAGTTGTCAGGAACATCTTTCCGTTGTTGAGGAAATAGAGCAGTATGGTGGTGCATCCACATTGTATCGAAACAGTTCAGTACATGTCAGTGTTATCATGATGCAGACATGGGAAAGAGAGATGATGTTTTCTTCATCAACTAAAATACAACAAAGCCAGCAACAGTAACTGTTAGTGATTCACGTGGTTAATTAATTCTAAGCTATTGAGAAAAAAGAAACATTAAAATAATTTGAATAATTTCACAAATGTTGTTTCTGATCCTTTATCTGAGTATTAGCTGAAACTGTTACCGGTCGATTCGGTATTGTTTTATAAAGATCACGCTGCAGATGTTGAAAAAAATAAGAAACACACTTACGAAGTTACTTCTGTTTTATTCTACACACAACAGAAATGTACATTGGCAGTCTAGGCAATCGGTATACATAAATGAACAACATTTATTAAGGATTAAAGAATGAAAAATAACAAAGTATGTTAATATTCAACATAGGTAATAGTAAATTGTAAAATAAGCTAATTAACGTGATACCTAAGTAATAATGATGGAGAAAATATTAAAATGTGATGGAAGTTTATATAACAATGGCAACATGAATTCCTCCGCTCTTTGATACTTATATATCCGTATGGATTTACAAGCTATAAATTTTAAGCATACATACTTTTAATATTACTCTATATATCAGAACCAAAATCAACAACGTATTCTTAAGCGTCTATCAGAAAGACTTCTGTGTACGCGGGGAATTGGTCAAAACTTGCTAGGTAACTTTTCAGTACATCATTTCGATGTTTATTTATTTCATTAGTTTTAAACTTCACGCTGTCGTATATTGCTAAGGTTACTCGTGTCATGGATCGATACTTCACGACTCACTGTGGTGGGCGTTACATGTAGTATGGGACACGCTCATTAATACTGAGTTCCTGGTTATCATTGGAGCATATAGTATATAATTAATTTCCAAATCAGATCAATCAAGTAGATGCAGACCTCTAGATGTAACCAGCTGGGAACATAAGCTACGTATACAGCGAAGTTCTGTAAACGACAAGCATACAGAAAATGTGTTCATTTGCTTTCATTTATAAATGAATGCCGGATGTCGAAGTTGTCATGTAATATGAAAATAAATTCTAATAATGAACTGACAGTTAAGATACATGTATACAGTTAATTTAATTCCATACAGGAACAATAATCAAGATATTACGACAATAAAACAATTTACGAAATATTGTTATGTTTTCACTCATGGTCTACAGTTGGTAAAAGTTAAATACTGATTATATATCAAGATATCTGCAATTTTTTTAATATTCAAAGTCAATATTACCTTTCCCCTTATGTCACTGACACAACGTCCAATATCGAATCAAAATTAAGAAGTTAGTGATATGATTCTAATTTGAGAGGAATTATCTGTGATTTTAATATGACCAACCGCTGTTCTATATATACACAAGTATATACCGATCATAAAAATGAAAGTGATTGGATGTCTATGAGTATAAAATATACAGTTAATATTATCAGTGATGTTCGTTCTAGGATAACACATAAATAAACGGTATAATACCTACCAGAACACAGCAATTAACAGCTATAAACTACTTAATTAGTAGTCACCTATCGTACATGTTACACTATAACAGTAGATTCTAGACATTCAAAACACATACTAGTTTATAAGGTATACAGAAGTGATAATGTTTTTTCTCTAACATTATATAAAAGAAATGAAGAATTTTGATTTGTTTTTAAATTGTGATATGAACATGTACACAATATGTAATGACAACTAACAATACTTGGAAGTTATAACAATTTGAACTATAATTTTTTTCTAACATTTTTAGATATTTCAACTGATATACAAAATGCAATATACGTGTACCAAACCGATTGAGGGATACTTAAATTAAACCAGTCGCCATTTTCGAATACATTTGCTTTCGCCTTTAAAATATTTCAAAACCACCATCCTTTTAATTTCATTCTCTCCATTTGAACACGCTATTGAATGTGGTTTGAAGTTTTTCACGTGTACATGGCCATCCGATATTATCTTTGTAAGATACAAATGCGATACACTCCACAAACGTATGGTATTAAACAGATGAATATTCACGAGAATGAGAAAAAATGTATCTGAATAGTACGTAATGGTGATGGGCCACAATGGGAGGATGTTCATTATAACAAGTGATAACTAAGGACTTAAATAGATGTCCTACAGTACACTCTGTAGTACAATGCATACTGCATTTAGGATGTTTGTCGTATGTTTAGGATAATACATTTTCGATGTAATGGAGGATGGTGTTATGTTAAAAGGGATCAATTTTATTCCAACAACATTTTGCATGTTTATATAGTCTTAAACTTAATTCACAAACACTTAATTAACCATGAATACTAGTAAAATTGGTAAAAGAATATAATATGTAAAAACAATAGTTCCTATCAACGCCAACCTGCATTCTCTTCCTGTGATAACACGACTACCAAAAGACGATATTTGTTCATATTTATGTCAACACCTTTTCGAAGAATGGTTTATGCACTTTTAACCAGATTTTCTGTAGCACAACGAACCTTGATACGGTGCACGACCAGATTTCATTGATATTTATAATATCCTAAACATGCAAATTAATATTTGTTTCATTGACTCTTCAATTTCCTTTGTTCTTATGAAACCATTTTATTTCATAGGTTTTGTGTGTCATTTTTCAGACTCGAATGCCTTTTCATAATTTTACCTTCAAAGATCACTGGTGACTACCTATCAAGCTAACAGTGACACAGCTACATTATACTATTAATTATCCCTTTTTTTAGGAATGACAATTCGCAATACAGGACATAGAACAATACAGCTAATTTAGCGTTTACATGTATTGACTTACTGTTCGCCAGGTTGATCGTCACCCTTTGTTAGCCAATATGCAATGTATATGTTAGCTTGTTCACTTGACGTCAAATTGTAATGTTCAAAAAAAAAAGGGGGGGAATTATTTTCCTGTTAAAATCGTTTTCTTTCATACTTGATCAGACAATTCCCTGGAAATTAATACTTTGAACCATTAAAGAGCTGACACCGGTTGTCTAAGAACATATTTGCAATCAGCGCTTTATCTTAAATGCTTTATAATGGTAATGTCCTATCTGGAATAGAATCGTTGGGATCCAATTCACACCAAATTTATCGAATGCTGCCTATTTATCGATCATATTTACGTTCTCAGTACCAAACTATCCAGGATGCTAACATAACTTCTACTGCTAAAAGGCCCCGGAATACGTCTGTCGTTGGTGCCGCCATGCTTGTTGTGTTGTAGTACATACTAAATGGCAGCAAACCCATTGAGAATGGTACAGTGTTACAGATACTGTCTTCACAACAGAGGAAACAGTTGTCCTTCTTCGCTGGGTTGCATTCTTTGTTGCAATTGTAGTGTTTTAGTGTGCAGCCTCTTGTTATACTTTCAAGATAAGACCGTGTCTTGACCATCTTGAATTTAAGTTTTGTCTGAAAGAAAAAAAATATGTATGAGACAATAATCAAAATGTTCACCCTTTTCAATCACCAGCGTGTGGGTGGAAATCATATTAAACATGGAGTGAATGTTAAACTAGGAAAAACAACGTTTCTTTAGAGAAATATGAGTATATATCCGAACCTAAGCAAAACAGCTTCGACGTTCGATTGAGTAGTTTTCACTCTACTATTATGTTTATAACCGGTTTATGACAAGGGATGGGAAGTGTTGGTTTTTTCAAATCTGAAAAGTAGGAAAACCACTAAAATGGTGATAAAGGTTTGTTTGCTTTTTAGGCTATACGTACTGAGTATTGCGACGGCCTTTCATACAAAATTGACCGATCCTGGCCTTCTCCTTTGCTGAATTACCGAAAAGAGTTAGAGCCCTCTAGCGGCAATTTTCTGTGTAAATAATGCCGCGATCTTTGAAATCGCTATTTTAAAGCCTTCACAATTAGTTTATTTTTTTAAATAACAATACGATTACTATATATTTCAAAAGGAAGCACAGTGTGGTTGAACTATTGATTAATTTTGAAAAATATATTTTACGGAATTTGCTCACGGACATCCCGACCTCTGCTGCAGAAGAAGATCGAGATGACGTGATTCGTATCGCCTGCTGTGAATATTCCTAGATAACAACCATATTTACCGTAAGTAAGCAAAAAAATGGTTTCTTGTATCTTCAAAGTTTATTGCAACTGCATGACTTGATTTACAGTGTATTTACTGTATGGCGGGGCTTATGAATCCTTCTCGACATGACGTAAGCGTACAGAACACTGTACGTGCGAGTTGGCGCCATGGTAAGAAGCTAGTCTGGGGGCTTGGGTTTGAATTACCAACTAACAGCACTTATAAACAAACAAAACTTACAAACAGAACATCAATTTTGCTTTAATACTTGTCGTTGTGGCAAGATCACTTTACCTCATTAGACGTCAAAAATTGGACTGTTCTTCCCACGCGCACACCCGCCGATATGACACTTTTTCAGGTTTTTGAAGACAAAAAGTTTGCACTTCGTAGGCAAGGTACATATGGTGCTCATGATTTATGAATGATACACCTTATGTATTTTTAATACTGTACTGATCATGATGTTGACTTTGTTATAACTTATATTTGTTTGTCTTTTAGTTTTATTTGATGAAGGTTGATTGTGCTGATTTCTCAAAGTTTGTAAATGTGTATCAAAGGTCCTTGAAATGAATATATTCCTTCAAACAAAGCGCGTATAAAAAAACCCCAAAATACTCATGTTTATAATTACCAATTAACTAGAACGAAATATTTCCATAACATATTTATTCATTTTGCATGTCATGGTGACATTATCTAATGCATTGGAGATCAGAAATAGTAGAAGCTATAGTGAAAATATTGTAAATTTTGTATATATATGAAAGTCTGGCTTAATCTCATAGAACTATGTCTTTATAGATATAATTACTGGAAGAAAAGTCTAACCATGATACTTCAAGGAAGATAGGCATGTAAATACACTTAATGTAATTATTTACACTTTTATCTATCTGAAATGCTGTGTACACCTTATCTACTTTCCTCAACTACAAATATAATTATAATAAGTAAGGACTATTACTTTGCAATACATTTAAAATAAAGAAGTAGGTATAAAGTCCTTTCGATTTGTCTAAATCCTCATATTGATAGGATAGTAATTGCAACATCTTCGGTATTTCAAAGGTTTTATTTAGTCAACTTTAGCATAGACCTATTTGTCATTTGGCTTGTTGGCGATAAATATATGGTTGTATGTATTTTGTTATGTTTTCTTTCTACCTATTTTGATTTGTTCACATTATTGTCGTCAGATTTGAAATAAGAATTAAAGAAGATATAAAATCGCTTATAATAAAGAAAAATAGCCTCTGGTTCTCTTATTTTAGTAATTTTTGCATTCCAAAGTGTACGAGTATGGGGAAAGTAATATAGCTTAGCGGTTATTTTTCAATACGTTTAGCATCCCAGCACTTTCAGTACTTTGATTCAATTTGTTGAGAGATTTCGATTTCAAAAAAATATCTCTGTGAAATCACTTCTCGTTGAGCATCTGTTGGGATAATTGGCGTTATTTCAGGACTTCATATGCTTGTATGATCAGCGTTGATTTTGTTTTGTATCACGTGTATGACTCATGTATTATCGGGAGATCTCAGCGAGGTTTTCGTTCACTAACTAACAAAATCAAATTGCTTAACTCTACCATCATGCCTCCGCTGTCACGATACAGAAAGACAGATATATTGGATTGATTCGTGTTCATGAGTCTCGTATTCAAGTTGCATACATTTTTGGCTAAATTGTTAAACCATTCACTATTTGTTAAGTCTTAATCAACCACTAAAAACGACCTTGATGGATATTTCGGAATATTTTCTGCGGGTTGGTAATGTCAATATAATAGTTTTTACATCAACCAGTTGAAGATAAGAGACTACACGGTCACCTTCATCAGACAAATGACAAAAAAAGCCTTCCAACCGTGACTGGGTCAGAGTTCAGCGTTGTTGGGCTGTACGTCAATGAAGATCGCTCATATGAGTCCCGATTTTGTCTGCAATCCGGTGATGGAAGACACGGAATGAGAAGTTGACGCGTTTTGTAAACTGCTGCGACGTAGAACGGGACCGCTGTGGAGGCGAACGTGTTATGAGATGGGGCAGTATGCGTGGATGAATTTATCAGACTTGTAGTGATAGAAGCAACTGAACAGGTAATCCATATCGTGACGAAATTTTGAGAGATTCTAACATGCCTAGGGCGCCGTGGCATTAGTGCCTTTTTCCAACAGCATAACGCACCAGCGGGCACCAGTCGCATCAGTTTAACGTTCCTGCTGCAGAATAGAGGTGTCGGAATGGCCACCAACAAAAGGAACGTTCGTGGCCGAAGCGTGAGAGAAAGTCAAAATCAGCTGTCAAACTAGCAAGATCTGGCCTCTAATTATCCACTGGCTGATGAGTTCTATACGACGACGCCTCAATGTTGTTTACCTCAGTAACGATGGTCATGCCCGTTACTAATGGCGTCACATTTAATAACGACCCGAATATACGTTCTGTCTATTGAACAACAACAACTAAACATAGTTTTTCCAGTTATTCATGACAGCAGTTTTGATATTTCATAGATTCTTATCTACAATTAGGGAATGATAAATTTATCGCATCATAAAGTACATGTATTTCTACATGCTCGTTCATTTCTTGCTTGGTTTTGTTTTATATGACACGCATTTCATGTGTATATTTCATTGATAACTTGCCTTGTACATTAATTTAGTTTGTATTACACGTGTAACTCGAGTAGTGTCTGATTTTGTAATATATAACTCTCGTTGATTCTGTATTTCAAATTTTATCACTTGCATGACAGTATTACCTCACAGTTATAGACATTGTAATTTCCTGTCTCCTCGCACTCCTGTTTGTCCAACCCATACGGACGTGAAACGCAATCATCCGTCCCATTAGTCTGTCCAGCATTCCAGTCACATGTGATGCACTCTAAACCAGAAACTGAAAAAAGACAATTATTTTAGACTTTTACCCAGAAACGGGAACAAAGAAACACCCGTACGATTGAATAAAGCCTCAGACGCTACAACAACGAAAAACAAACATGATTAATTGAAACCAAGACACGGGAACATAGAAAGTGACATATGATTAACTATAGTCCAGATACCGGACAAATAAAATTACACATGATTAACTAAAATCAAGACACACCGGACAAAGAAAATCTCACATGATTAAAGAAAACCCAGACACACGGTTAAAGAAAATCTCACATGATTAAATAAAGTCCAGACACAATTTCAAAGAAATTCTCATACGATCAAATAAAGTCAAGACACGAGGACAAAGAAAATCACACATGATTAAAGAAAACAAAAACAAGACATGTGAACAAAGAAAATTTCATTTGATTAAATTCCAGAATACATGACGTTATGTGATTTGGTAAAGTATTCTTTGTTATTGCTGTTTGTGAATGATGAAACATAATAATAGATACATCGAGACAACTTCCAAGGTTTTGATATATCACGTGCGATGGAATATTGTGAATACTTAGTATTCATGTTCGCTTATATTCAATCAAGTTTGGTCTAAATTAATTTCTTCCAATTTATCTGTATTTTATGGAGATCTAGCGGAAACATGGCACTAGAATGAATATTTGTAGTGCAGTGCACCTGTTCTGTTGAATGTATTTTTGGATACCGTGTGTTAAATATAGAACAACATGGTCTCCAATTTGCATTTAATGGCGATGTGCACACGTATACGTGACTACAGGGAATTTATGGGAGATTTCAGACCATTTTATCTCTCGCCAATATGATTGTATATGGACGATCGCCAACGGTATAACAATGTTTCAAAACAAACACATTAAATATCGTTTTTACTTTTATGCAAAAATAGAAAATGGCTGAGTACCAAAACAAACTCATTATCAAAATAAGTTCAGAAACAACACATGTTACATCACACCATCATACGGTACTTGTAGCTATTGCTAAGAGGGAAACTCTGAAAATTATCACCTAGCAGTGGTCCACCTTAATACTAAATGTATACTCCCTAGCGTTTAAGGGTGCTATATCGGGAACACAAACACAGATACAAATACTTCTAGAATCAAACTTCGATTTGCGATTCCGATCTATTCTAATTGTATCATTACATGTAGTAATAGATATGATTTCCTGGTTGCCGTTTAAAATCAATTAAAGTAAATTTGGACAAAAATGGGCTAAAAACAAATAGCGTAAGGCCGAAACCTATCCAACATCAGACCAACTATTAGTCAGGGCTGCTACTGTACAGGGAAATAGACGTAACCTAAATTTGTATATGATGTTTCTGATGTGTCGTCTACAACGCAAAGTCTTCATCTTGTGCATGCCTCACCCGTTTTTATCAACAACATGACTTTCTAATTTTCTGCCTCAATTCACGCTCCGGAGACCCCATCATATCATTACAATTAATCGAGAGGCAGAAAATGATATTCTATATTTATACACTGAAAACATTTGTGTCGCCAATAAAGAACATTATTTATATATAATGGCTAAACGCAGTTGAGTTAATATATAAATATAACACCAAAACCTATAGCTGTATATCCCCAGGGGACCAGGGAAAGCCTACCGTCAATAATCAAACACAGGCAAAACATATCCGGCTTTTAAGGCGTATTGATGAATGTGTTGCAGCAAACAAGCACGGACATGCAAATTGAATACAAGTAGCCGCAAAGCGTGGCATTATCCCCCGCATCCAGATGTTTGGTTAAAACCCAAATACGATATACATGTACCGGTATACAATTTGAAGACATTTTACATATAAATGTAAATACATTGTACATTTATCTAATATGCGATTACCGCGCATGCATAGTTACCTTACAAAGTAGTTACAGTGTACATGTACTACAATGTATCACATTACTTATTATGAAATCCATTGTTCATTGTTGGATATGTCGGAGATAAACTTAATTATCAAAATGCATTTACGATTTCGTTGAGAGGCGTTTTGGGATAAAATAACTAATTCTTCAAGTAATCACATTTTGAATTACTCGTTAATAGGATAACTCTATACCCTAGACTAATGGAAATGAAATATTAATCAGCTAAAGTCATTAATTGACAATAATTGATTTACTCTCCTTGTGCTTTGCCGGGAGTCTCCTTGTAAATGTTTTTTATTTATTTATTTTTTGTTTTGTTTTTTTATTTTTTATATATATTTTGCCCTAGTTTTATGGAATTTGTGTTTGGGTTGTGATTATGTTGACATGCTGGTATTTTCTAGAGTGGCGAGTTAGACATGGAATTACTTATTGGCAATTTCATGCATTTATTTTCGAGCCCATAAGTAGACTCCATCACCAGAACTCACTACGGTATGGAATTGCACGCCCATGTGGACACGCATACCAATACTAGTCAGAAAGGATTAGTAGCAGACACTGACCGATTCCTAGATCTACTCGATATTGGTCAGGGAATTGGCCAGCGTCGTAATAGAAAAGAATATCGATTTTTGTGACCATGTCAACATTTCGTGCCCGGGAATGACCTACACATGAATACATAGGGTTTCGTGTATGAGAGGATGAGATACAGATTATTCTAATCTACAGATATTTCGGGTTAGTTAATATCAGAATACGGTAAATCAAACCAATGTTATATGCATGTGCATCTAATGATCATTTTCTAGGTTATTTTAAGCTATTTATGTGAGCGAAATATATGTATATGTACTGAATTTATTTTATCTTTCTTTGTGGCAATAGTTTAGCTAAACTTATGTTAGGCTAAAAATGTGATTACTGCCAAATGGTGTACTGTACTCAGAAAGCTTAACCTCGCAAGGAAAATGAAAGACGCATTGTCTTGGTGGTACTAGACGTAGATGTGAATCGATATCTTTATGTATTGAATAGTGAAACGTTCTTCAGATTGCGACATGGTACTGTACGTTATCTAATTCTCAGTCAGACTCTTAAGAGACCGTAACGAAATGATATCCCATAAAAGCGTCTGTGTGATCTGTTTCCTTGGTTTAACTTGGTGGGATATCGATTTAGCTTACATGTAATTGTATGTAGTGAAACAATATACTTTTCGAAATAAAAAGCACAACGACGTATGAAATCAACAAGTTATGATGAAGTTATGACGTGGCTGTCAACCAAAGCATCTGTGTATATCGGTTTTCTTTTATTCACTGTTTTTATCATTAAAATAATTTTAACTTTACCAGTTCACTACATGCGTCTTTTGACATTAGTTTTAACATGCATAGCAAAATAAAATTATCTTACAAAACTTGTCACATAATGGACGGCTGGGTCAGTCGCAGGCAATTAGTGTCGCGATTTAATGTTGATATGCTGCTTTAAACGACGTAGAACATTATCAGCTGAACAAACAATATATGCTTTTGCTAAGAACACAGTTGATGGTATACAAGCGATGAAGACGAAAATAGCGAAAACATTAAATCAATCAACGTGTTTCAGCCGAAGGTGGCAATGACAATTAAGTAGGCAAAGAGAAGGTTAAAGCACTAGGTAATTCAATTACTTCTTTTTGTACAACTGTCTTGAATTCAAAGTAATCGATAGAGTTAAACATACATAAAGACTTGAAAGCAGTAGGAACAAACGATAAAAAATATACATTGACCGAGTGTTAGACAAAATGTCACGGACATAAAACTTAAATAGAGGGTCTGGCAGGAGATTCGATTCCATTTCATAGGGGTTTTTTTTTTATAAAAACGAGTGTATTTCTATATTTAACCGAGTATCTGGCGACGTGGAATGCAAATCTTATCACGGATTTCATCAATGCTGTATAAAGTGGAATGAATGTAAAAAAACTATTTGTCACGTAATATAAATAGGTTTGCAAGCATTCAAAATATCGTTTATCAACTGATTTATCATCTGACTTGGCGATATTATTAAGCCATATCCCATTCATTAGTGACGTCCCAATGCAAGTCACGCAATGAAATGAAAACATTCATATAAACATCATTTTATCAAACTGACGTATCATCTAGATTATCACTTCATGTCCCAATCTTTGGTAACGTCATAATGCAGTTGACATCCAATCACAGCTGCGCTTAGTGTCCTTACAGGTGTAGAGATAACAAACTCTATGTTCACAAACATGTTTATGTGACTTTAAGGTTAAAAGACACATGAGTAAATATCAAACATCTAAAATGTAGATTCATCATTATGTTTACCCGTACTTCAATTCAGAAATTACCACAAAAGTCTGCTTGACCACTTCTCCGAAGGATACCCATTATATGATTTTTTTAACACGATTAACTTTCACAATGTGTATATTAATTTTATGTCTAAATTTACAAAAAGCAATATTGTACCCATCAATGAATCGTACTTGCCTTCACAGTTAACCATCAATAAAAAGATACATTCTGTTCATCAACAAATTGATGTTGTCTCTTAATAAGGCACGCATATTGATACATGTCGTGGTCAAATGAAGTCAAGAAACTTTGTAAATCATAAAATCAATATCTAGGTCATCAGTTCACAAGAAATGTCCTCGCCAGGACAGACTCGTAGCCTACAGCAGACGTTGTATCAATGTATGGTTAGTATGAAGATCGATGTGATCCTTTGTTGACTTGATAATAACTATCTTATGGTATAATTAGTTTAATTAAGGTTGTGAAATAATCGTATATATGTATATCCACCGTTAAGAATGTAACGCGGGTGTTAATGACAGACGCACAAATGAAGTCATAATTCATGTTAAGTATGCATTGCTTCCGTTGTCTGATTGTTGGATTGGTCAGCATTGGCTAGAAAGGCACAAAGTGTTGGAAATAATTGACAAACTAATTAGAGGGTTTGCAGAGATTTTGTTCGATTCTTGGTTTAGTACATATTTACAATATTATACACAGGACAACTTGTGGTAGCGCCACATTGTTAT